ATGTTTTGGTTTTGATTCCAGTTTCGGTGTGGCGTTCGGGGCACGTCAACTAATTGTTGACGCCTCGCGTATCCCCACCATCGCACCTCCTGGACTTCGGTGTCGCCCGTCACCGCCGGTCTGTCAGCATTTCTGCCCGCAGCTAGTTAGCTGCGTTTGTTCGGCTTTCTCTTACTCCGTAATTTAGTTCGTAGCGCTGTTCGCTGTTGCTTCGCTTCTTGACGGCGCGCAGCTGCTCTGTGTCGCGCGCGAACAAAAAATACCCCCACCAGCTGGACCGACTTGAAGTCGAATGGACCGCGGTCCGCGGTAAGTTTGCAGACAGGGCCAAGGGTAAGGGCGCCTTGGGCAAAGCCAAAGGCAAGGGGCACCGGGAGGACAGTGACCCCCGCTGGACAAGGCCTGGGGTTTCCTGGCGGGCCACGAGCTCCCGCCAGCCTTGGGAATATCCCTAGTAGCCCCTCACGGGTCCCGCCCTCCCGTGGCGCAGTCACACCACGGCCGCGCCCCCCATAGTTTGGCAAACCCAGGCGGCTTTGCCAGTGCCGATTGCCTCCCTACACGTGCGATGGTGCTGTCCATGACGATGCGAACGACCTTCCTCTCACTGGAACTTGCCCCAGGTGGGGCCCTTCGGCACGCCACTTCGGCTCCGCGCCTACTACCGCCTCGGACGCGCCCAGCTGGGGCTGTCGGCTCGCCCCTGGCACTCTGGAGACCCAGCTCCTGGACCTCCCTTTGCGGCCTTTCGCCCCCTTGATGACCGCCGCCCCCCCCCCGGCCCGCCCTAGGCGCCGCCTTGGGGCCTGGTCCCCCCCCCTGGGGCCACCCGTACTGTTAGGTCCCTTGCGACTACAAGACTTGCAGCTCAGTGCTGCCCTACACCTCGTGGCCGGTTGCTGCGCTCCCGCCGCTTCCCGTCCGCCCTTTTACACCACCGTGCGATCGACCGTCGCATCCCACCTCACCTGCCCCATCGGGGCTGCTCCGTGCCACTACGCGACTGTCAGTCGCCTCCTTCCGCCAGTCTTCTCCGCACCTTCGGTGCCCCTCCAGCGCCCCACCCCGCGGCTGCCGTCGCTGCCCCACGCCCGCCCCCCGCCCGCCCATCCTGGTTCCCGTCCCCCACGGATACGTCACACAATTCCGCGGCTGTCAGCTGTGTTCCCCGCGTCCGCCCCCCGCCCGCCCCCTTGCCCCCGTCCCCCACGCCCGCGCCCCCATGTGTCTCCAATTCTGCGCGATTGTCAGTCGCACTGGCCCTCCCTGGCCCTCCTCCCCCCTCTTGCGGCCTGCGTCGCGGCTGTCTCCCGGCCGGGGGTGTGCCTGGGCCTCCCACCGCGGGCTGTGGCCCACCGCCCCCGGCCTGTCTCCGCCTCCGCCGGAACCACCCCGGGGGTCCTAGATGTCCCCCCCGGGGCGTCGTGGCCGGCGCCGGCGGCCCCGCTGCGGCGCGGACTTTTTCGGGCTGGCCTGGCCCCCCGCGCCGTCGCCTCCGCCCAGCTGGGTGCCGGCGCCCCTGCGTGGCGGTGCAAGCGGCGCACCCTGCAGGGTGCGCCGCTTGCACCGGCGGACCGCCAGGCCGCCTCGCCGTAGGGCGCTCATTGGCTAGAGGACGCCGCTCGCACTCTCAGCGACGTCGGGCCCCGCGTTCCCATACGCCTGTCGAGCCCCGCCCCCGCGTGCTTGGTCTCTCGGCGCGGCGCTCTGCCGCCTCGCTGTCGGTGCTGCTCGGCGCTACCGTCGACTTCCCGCCGCGGCTTTCTTTGTTGTCTCCCCCCTCGGTGCTCCTCGTGATCGCCGAGCGCCCGCACGCTGCCCTCTGCTGGCTCGTCTCGGTCTTCTTCCTGGACGTGGTCATAGCTTCCAATTGCTCCACCATTTTTGTTTGCATCCTGGCCAACACCTTGGTTTTCGTCGGTTTCGGCGTGTCCTACCTGTTATTCAGCGTCGGCTTCGCCCTCTGAGCCGCAGCGTAGTTTGCTCCTGCGCGCTTAGTGCCTAATTTAGTCCGCTGCTCGTTAGCCGCGCTTCGACATGACGCCGAGCGATTTGTCGCTACGGTCGCGATCAAAAACATATCCCCACCAGCTGCCGATCCTGCTGCGCTGGCGGATTCTCAGGCCCAGCTTGCAAGCCATCAAATATTGATGCGGCTTGATATCGTAAAGGACCTTGCGGGATTTATCCGACGCCGGTGATTTGCAACTAACCGAAGGCAGACCTCATTCCCGCGAGGTGCGTTTTGGGAACAGCTCTGGGTATTGGCACGTGCGTCTGGGGAATGGTATCCATTGTTTTGCAGAAAAGGCGCGGTGCTTTGCCGTTATCATTCCTAGATAACCTGGTGATTCGGGCCACAATCGGTACTGTCAACACCCCAGTTTGGATTGAAGACGTCAACATGTGCCTCCACATCTTGCCAGATGCAGATTCACTGTCTGGCGCCAGCGGCGGTACTTGGAATTTCCCGGAGATGTCCTCGAATCGGCTCCGCAGGGTGACCCGTCAAGTGCGGAAGCTGGTGGCGGCAGACCTGGCGGGGCAGCAGCTGGACCCGCAACAGAGGAAAAAATTGCCCGCCGGCATTCGTTGGAGGTCACTCGGGCGCACCTGCGCGTTTGAAGCGGTCCGCCGCCATCTGTTCCATGGAGGCGCGCAGATGGTTGCGGCGCGGAGCCAGTTAGGGGGCATCCAGTTCAGTTGAGCGCCCCAGTGCCGCCACGGGACCTCGGACGCATCGTCGGAGTTGAGGGCGGGACCATAACCGTGATCCGAGAGGGCATTGGCGCCGCTATTCCCATCCCGCGGACGGACGTGATGTTCGATGCTCAGCCGAAGCACGTCGCCATCCGCATCAGTGGTGCTGGCGCGGGGCCTCGCCTAGCCCTCGCTGTGATTGCAGCCGTTGCAACTGGAATTTCGCCCGAGGAAGCGCGCGGGCCCCTGCGGCCAGCTCAGGCCGAAGCGCCGCGTCTCCGATGGGATCCCGGGCTAGGCCTCACCCCGGGCGAGCCAACGCAGGCGGTCGAGCGGGGCTTGACGGGCCGCGGCGGCTTCTGCTTGGCCCGGACTTCCACTGGGGAGTACGATGGGCATTTTGTAATCCACCGCATGCAATTATCGCGCATGGGTTGTTCGAGCGACTTTAGACGATGGGTGCGCCCTCGCGCGGAAAGTGTTTGATGCAGAGTATTTGCGCAGCAAGGAAGCTTCAATCAATCACGATCGGGGTCTGCCAAAAGAGTTGGACGAGAGCGCTGCCACTTGGATCTGTTTGCCACCAGAGGAATCAGACGGAGAGTGGGCCTAGTGGGAGCCGGTGGCGCCTGAACTCTCTCAGCCCCGCAGCGCTGCAGCAGCTCTGGCCGCCCCCCAGCGAGGCGCCATTCTCGAGGCGGTGCAGGGCGCCGACGTTCGTGAGGCCGCCACGCTGCCAGAGGTCGCGGTGGAACCCGCGCCCCAGCGAGTGCTTCGATCACCCGACGGAGGGCGCGGCGCCGCTGCAAAGCGCCGATCCCCAGCTCTTTGCTCACCGAGCCCACGGCCTCCGAGGTCGGCCTCGGGCTCGCCCAGGGGCCGGGGGGGCGCTCCGTCGCGTGGCCGGCCCCGTGAGCCGCGATTGGCCACTGCGACCTGAGGCCGTCACGGGCCTCGAGCGGTCTCAAGGGGGCCGTTTTCCGTTTCGGCTCGCGGCGCTTTGCGCGACCATGCCGCCGGCCAGAGACTACTCGATATCCATTCCCACCTTCTGCAGCAACCAGAATACGGAGATTGGGTGTCCGTGATTGGCAGCAGATTTCGGATGAGATTGGTGACCGTGCGCGAACATTTTGTAGTATCAAGCGAATCGCCCCATGATGCTTGGGAATCCACGTTTCCCAGTTCCAATTTGTATTTTCAGCGATTGGACGGTTCGTGCACCGGCCGCAGCTCGACCGAACCGCGCAGCAATTTCGGCTTGTCAACGTCAGGGTCACTGCGAAAGGCCGTAAAACACGATGTGCTACAGTAGTGCTTGCCAGTGTCAGGGGTGATTTAGCCACTGCAGTGGATTTGGGGGCGAATCATCCAGATTGGACAATGACGCATGCAGCCCGTGACGCGCGGCCAACCGCTGATTCCTAATAGGCTCTGCCACTTTCTTTTTCGGCAAGCGCGCTGCTTGCGGTGCGGCGAAAACGCTTGCTGGAGCGAGATTGGGGGTCCTCCTTGCTTCCCGGCCGTGCGCCGCCCCCCCTTCTCCCCCTCCTTCCTTCGCCTGCTCCCCAACGCCTCCGTGGGGCGTCAGCGCCCTGAAAGCCTGGGCGGGAGGGGCGTGCCGAGGCGAGCCTCGGACGCGTCGCGTTCGAGCTTGCTTGTGCGTCTGTTGTTTCGGGCGGAATGGGAAGCCATTGTAAAGCCAGACTGCGCCGCATTTTGTTTGTCGATTCCCTTCCTCTCCCCTGTCCTTCCTCCTTCCTCGCCCCCTGCTTTCCCCCCCCCTCTTTCGGGGCGCGTCGGCGCCCAGAGAGCCTGGGCGGCCGGCGAATGCCAGGGCGAGCCTCGGACGCGTCATTGTTGATTCTCACGCCGGGGCCATGTTACTCTGGCTGCGTGGCCGATCTAGTGGGCAAGCCGGCCGTGGATGCTTGGATTTTGAGCGCCCTGGATATAGAGGGTTTCGCCTGTCTCACGCCCTGCATTGCGCGGGCTTTGCCCCGGAGGCGCGCGCGTCTGGGCAGCGCTGCCGCTTGCGTCCGCGCCGCTGGCGCTTGGCGGGCGCCGCTGGCACGGGCGCGGCCGGCAAGCCGCTCGTTGTTTTTAAAGCCACGCTGCGGCGCGGGCCCCGCGCAGGGAGGCGGGCGCAGGCCCAACTTTCTGCGCGCGCGGGCTGAGGGCGCACTGATGGTCCTGAGAGCTGCGCGTGCACAAAAAAAGAACATCGGCTGCGCCTACTGCGTCACCGACGGCCGCGCCGACTGCTGCTCCTTCAGCAGCGCCCACAGCAGCCCCCGCAGCAGCCCACCGGCAGCTGCCCCTATTGCTGCGCCCGCGGCCTCGCCCACAGCTTCACCGACAGCTGCGCCAGCGGCTGCCCCGACGGCACCGCCCACAGCTTCGCCGCGGCAGCGCCGCCTACGGCGTCGCCGACGGCCGCGCCTGCTGCAGCGCCAACAGCAGCCCCCACGGCCTCCCCCGACACCGTCGCCTACGGCAGTTCCCACACCTGCCCCCACTGCTGCGCCTACGGCTTCCCCCGCAGTTTCACCAGCAGCTGCACCCCGGCTGTTCCGACGGCATCGCCCGCGGCATCGCCTACAGCAGCGCCGTCGGCTTCGCTTGCGCCGTCACCGACGGCCTCACCGTCACCTGTTCCCACAGCTTCACCGACAGCTGCACCAACGGCTGCTCCGTCGGCACAGCCCACGGCATCGCCTTCAGCAGCGCCGACGACTTCGCCTACACCGTCAGCGACAGCCTAACCGACACCTGCTCCACCGCTTCACCGACAGCTGCACCTGCGGTTGTTCCGACGGCATCGCCCACGGCTTCGCCTACTGCAGCGCCGCCGTCTTCGCACTCGACCTTTCAGCAAACGACGGCGCTTGACGCCCACCTCGTGGCGCGCGCCCCAGCCGCCACATTCCCCGCTGGCCCTCCGGAGGCCAAGGTGCCACAGTCGCTGCCCCCGCTCCCGCCCTTTCTGGTGCTTCCTGGTTTGGGGTTTTGCCTCCCCCGCAGCGGTCCCTTTCGCGACTGTGGGCCGCAGCTCTGCTGCTCTGACGCATGCCATCGCTGGGTGCGCGGCCCGCTCCCTAGCTGCCCTCCTCCGGGCCCCCTTGGCGCCCCCTCTGGGGCACTCGCCCTCCCTCGCAGTCACCCCAATACATGCGACTGTTAGTTGTGACGCCACCTCGCCTCCGCCGCCTCTGCCATTCCTTACGAATACTTGCGACCGTTGCCTCCTCCCTCTCGGTCACCCCCACCGTGCGGGTTCCTTCCCGACGGTCCCTAAGCGGGGTCCTCATGCCTACCACGGTGCGCGAGCGCCCGCCCGCGCCCACCCGCCCGGCACGCGGTCTCGACGCCAGTCCCTGACGGTGTCTGGCGATCCGGACTTTGGTCTGTTGGGCGCCTGCATGGAGTTGGTCGATGCCTGCTGGTGCGTGTGACTCGACCGCCACTCGCGACGGAGAGACCGTTGGCCCAGACGCTGGTCCTCGTGGTGAGTTCTGCCGGTGGTCCCCATCATCAGCACGCTCGCGGTGTCGTTCCATTTGAATTCCCCGCCACTTTGGCGATGCAGTCTGCCTGGAGGTTCCCCTGTCGACGGCGCCCTCTTCTGAGCGGCAGCGAGGCCCGCCTCCTGTTTGTTCCTCCCCCCCGCTGTCCTCTCGTCGCCTCCCTTCCGTCCCCCTGAGCGCAATGAACTCGTAGCTTGCTTGCTGCGACGGCGCCCGGCGTCTTCTGGTGCGCTCGCGATCAAAAAAAGTAGCCCCACCAGCTTGTCCGGCACCTCTTTGGACGTGTTACCGGCGCCGCTTCGTGATGCCACTCGCGCCATGTTGGCCGCACTAAGCTCCGTCCCGCTCTCTGCATGGCGTTGCTCGCCTTTCTGTTTTCCCTTAGCTGGTGGCACGGCCTGCCCTCGCTTGCACGCCATTCGACCCGCTTCGCGCGCCCGCGCACCAAAACAAACATCCTTACAAGCCAATCCAGAAACGATGCCCAAGGGAATTGAGGTGATCAGGGAAGTCGGGGAGCATTCAGAAGATCAAAGAGGAAGGAGGAAGGAGGAAGGAGGAAGGAGGAAGGAGGACGGAGGAAGGAGGAAGGAGGAAGGAGGAAGGAGGACGGAGGACGGAGGACGGAGGACGGAGGACGGAGGACTGAGGAAGGAGGAAGGAGGAAGGAGGAAGGAGGAAGGAGGAAGGAGGAAGGAGGAAGGAGGAAGGAGGAAGGAGGAAGGAGGAAGGAGGACGGAGGACGAGAAAGAGGAGGAGGAAAAGGAGGACGAGGACGAGGAGGAGGAAAAGAGGGGGAGGAGGAGGTGGGGGAGGGGGAGGACGAGGAGAACGAGAAGGAGAAGAAGGAGGAGAAGGAGGAAACGTTGGGTACCTCGGGGGTCCCCTTGAGGCCTCGTATGGGGTCTGTTGAGAGCTTTTTGGAGGCCTCTTGGGGCCGTCTTGGCGCCTCTTGGGGCCCTCTTGGGACGCTCTTGGGAGCTTCAGGGGCCCTGTTGGGGCCATCTTGGAAGACGTCGATCACACAAGAGGGGGGCTTCAATCGGCATCGCCCTTCGGGAATTCCAAACATCACTTCTTGGAAACCTCTTGGAGCGCTCTTGGGCGCTTTTCGGGCTGTCTTGGGGCTCTCTTGGGGCTCTCTTGGGCCTCTCCTGGGGCCCTCTTGGGCCGTTTTTGAACCACCTTGAGGCCTCGTATGGCCATCGGAAGCGAAAGGGCGAGAAAAGCAGACCACATAGATTTTTGTAAAGTTTTGAAGGGTTTGGGCCTCTTGGGGAACTCATTGGAGGTTTCGGAGACCTCTGGTAGCCGTCTTGGAGCGTTCTTGGGGCTTTTGGGGGGCATCTTGAAGCCATCTTGAGGCACCTTGCGCTATCTTGAGCCATCTTGGAGGTCATCTTGGGTTGTCCGAGGCCCTCTTGGAGCCGTATTGGGCCATCTTGGACGCTCCCCGCCGCCCCTCCCCGTCGAGGTCTAGGGAAGGGGGTGGGGGGGAGGGGCGAACCCCTCCCCGAAGGGGAAGGAGGGGGTTGGAAGAGGAAACTCCCTAGACCACCTACGCCCAGAGGGCTGGTGGGATTGTACGCCTGCACCAATCCTGGCCAGACTGATCCGATTCCCAGAGCCGGTGCACGTGGACGCTTACGCAAAGCCAGGAGAACGTTTTCACCGATCCTGGGCTCCAGCCCCAGACATCCAATGCGTACCAAAACGCCTCCGAAGGCTGCTCCGCCATTGTCCGTTCAGGTCAAAGGTTGTCTGGGCCCAGGGGCCGTCTAGAACTTACTTGGGATGAATAATTGGCCCCTGCGAGTGGGCTGGACTCCCAGGGGGCCAACAGTGGAAAAAAAACACATCATGCCATCTGAGGTCTCGGTGCTGGCCTGGCTGGGATCGGCGGAGGGACACAGCTGGCGTCTTCATGGTGCCCTTGCCCCAAGGCAGGATGGCACAGTCTACTCCTTGACGTCTGCTGGAACACGAGCGGCCCAGTCCCGCTGGAGGTGGATCAGACCCGCTGCAGCTTGGGAGCATGACGCCCAAGATGCCAGACCGGCACAGCGTAGACACGTCGGGTAACGAACACTGTCTCGAGATGACATAGCGCAGTTTCTACCATCTACCAGAAGGGGGGTTATCACGAAAGACTGGATGGATACCGCTGGAGACGAACAAGTATGGAGCATTTTGGGCACCGATTCCTTGACCACATGCACTTCCGAAAGGGGCTCCGGCCCACCCGCGCCGCCGGGCCCGCCAGCCAGTGGATTCGCGCGTCTTGCATCTTGCGTCGTGAGCGAAGATTTAACCAGGACCGCGAGGCTGATCCAGCCGCTGCGGCCACACCCCAGAGACCCAGAGGAGCAGTAGGAGGAGGGAGGGAAGGTGGGTGCAGAGTGAGGGGTGTCCCTACCCAGGCCTCTGGCGTCGAACTTCTTTGTTGGCGTGGGTACGTACCCAGAGTTTGGTGTTCCAGGGCGGGCGGCTTTGTTTCATGTAGTCCTTCGGCCCAGAGTGGGCCTCCAGGGGCTCAGGACCCTAGATCTACGACGAGATGTGACCAACTTAGCCTTGCGGAAGACCCAACACTATATGCAGTTGTGAGTAACGTTTGAGGGTGTGCCGAAATGCGCGGTGGTGCCATGCGAGCGCACCCACTGGGGCCTTCGATGTAGCTCCCTTTGAAGCCACGAGGGCCACGAACCGTGTGAAGGGTGCCGACATGGGCGCGGCGGTGCCATGCGAGCGCAGCAATTTGGGCTCTCGGTGAAGCTCCTTAGGGGGCCACGAGGCGTGTGAGGGGTGTGCCGAAATGGGCGCGATGATGCCGTGCGAGCGCAGCCACTGGGCCCTTCGGTGAAGTCCCTTATGGGGCCACAAAGCGTGTGAGGGGTGTGCCGGCATGGGTTCGGTGGTGCCATGCCAGCGCAGCCAGTGGGGCCTTCGGTGTAGCTCCTTGTGGGGCCTCGAAGCGTGTGAAGGGTGTGCCGGAATGGGCGCGGTGGTGCCATGCAAGCGCTGCCGCTGGAGCTTCCGGTGGAGCTCTCTAAGGGGTCACGAAGCGTGTGAGGGGTGTGGTGGAATTTGCGCGGTGATGCGCCACTTGTGCCAGCGGTGAAGTTCCTCATGGGAGCACCAAAAGTGTTTGGGGTGTGCCGGCATGGGTTCGGTGGTGCCATGCCAGCACAGCCATTGGGGCCTTCCGTGGAGCTCCCTATGGGGTCACGAAGCGTGTGAGGAGTGTGCCGAAGTGGGCGCGGTGGTGCCATGCGAGCGCTGCCACTAGGGCCCTCGGTGGGAGCTCCCTATGGGGTCACGAAGCGCGGTGGTGCCATGCGAGCGCAGCCACTTGGCCGATGGGTGGAGTTCTTCATGGTACCACCAACAGTGTTTTTGGTATGTCGGCATGTGTTCGGTGGTGCCATGCGAGCGCAGCCTTTGAGGCCTTCGGTGAAGCTCCCATATGTGGCCACGAAACATGTAAGAGATGTGCCGTAATATGTACGGTGGTGCCATGCGAGCGCAGCCACAGGGGCCCTCGGCAGAATTCCCCGTGTCGCCACGAAGCGTGTGAGGGTGTGGCGAAATCGGCGCGGTGGTGCCGCGTGAGCGCAGCCACTTGGGCCCTCGGTGGAGCTCCCTGAGGGGCCACGAAACGTGTGAGTGGTGTGCTGGTAATCATGGGTGCGTTTGTGCCATTCGAGCGAACCTATTGGGGCCTTCGGTGGAGCTCTCCATGGGGCCACGAAGCGTGTGAGGGGTGCCGAAATGGGCGCGGTGGTGCCATGCGAGCGGGGCCACTAGGGCTCGTTTGGGGCCACGACACGTGTGAGGGATATGCCGAAATGGGCGCGGTTGTGCCATGCGAGCGCAGCCATTGGGGCCATCGGTGGAGTTCTTCATGCGGGCCACAAAACGGGTTTGGGGTGTGCCGGCATGGGTCGGTGGTGCCATGCCAGCGCAGCCTCTGGGGCCTTCGGTGGAGCTCCCTATGGGGTCACTAAGCGTGTGAAGGTTTTGCCGATCTGGGTGCGGTGGTACCATGCGAGCGCAGCCAGTGAGGCCCTCGGTGGAGCTCTCCATGGGGCCACGAAACGTGTGAATGGGGTGTCGAAATTGTTGACTGGTGTGGAGGTCAGAGGCAGGGATGGGAAGAAGGAGGACGCGGGATGGTTGGGGAAACAAATCTGAGTGTTATTCGTCGATTTTAGCCTCCAGGGCCCGTTGTCCTGCCTTGGGGCCACCAAGAACGGATTTGAAGCGT